TTATTTGATTATGGCAAAGCATGCGAGGACGATCTGTCTAAGGGGAGGGCAGCTTTCGAGGAGGATTTTCTAAAGGAAATCTACACATTCACTTTACACATGGGGAAAAATCACTCAAATGCGCACGCAACTGGAACTGGAATCAAACCAAGGTTTTTTTCAAGTATAGATGTACAGAAAGTACCATCTGAACTATATTAAATCCAAATTAGTTGCGTAAAATCAACTAGAACTTTTCTCCTAAACCGAATTAAATCGAAATTGCGTGAACAAATTCCAAATAGATATCGTCATTTTCAAGAAAGTAAACAACTTGTATGACTTAGTTATTTACGGTAAATGAGATGTGTAGATATTTCGCAACACTATCGATTTCAGCTTCAAAGAGAATACGCAAGAGCAAGTTCGAACAAATAATAGGTGCTCAGAAGTGGGACACCTTTCCTCAAGAACTAACGATGATCTTTTATTACACCTCTCTCTGGACCGAATCCAAAACTTAGCGAGGTATTTTGAAAGTCGTAGAAGTTCTGGAGTTAAATTTATTCCGCGCAGTTACAGTTTTTTAGGAATCCTTCGAAAGGGTTGACCGTGCAAATGCCGACGCCGCTTTCTTTTGATGTTTATTTCTAGAAAAGCGCTCAGATTAAAATTCTTCACGAATAAATTAATAAATTCAATTCAGTAACGAATACAGGAGAACAGTCTAGGACAGACACATTCAGTGAAAAGAACACTCTGCAAACACAAAGAATACTCTGCGATTTTGCTCTAATAAGGTATTTAACGTATTTGATTTAAAAATTGTTAAAATAATAATGTACTTCATTCTTCGAATCCTCTGATAAGTTTTGTTAAAATAGTTTCAAACTATATTCAAACAAGTGTTCGAAAACTATAGCCCCCATTTTGAACTCGAAAATTTAAACATTACGATATACTATTTCGTTTAAAATTTTAATTTAGGAGGAAATAAATTCTAAAGGATGATTAAAACTTCTAAAGATATTACATATTAACGAAAACACCACTCTGAATTAGTATATTTATGCCCAAACTTGTATTACTTCCGAAAATATCTTTTTTGAATATATCTAAAACACTTTTAGACAAAAATATATTTAAAAAAAAGTTTCGAATATTTTCTATAACTATAGATCTATTGATTCTTAAAGGTACGAAGAGTGGCATTTTTCAAAGTTTATCTTGAAAATATCTTGCACGGATTGCATTAATTATCTGTAATAAAATGAGAGGAATATCTTCCGAAGAGAAAACATGTCTTCTTGGAGAGTGATTACGCATGAAGGAAACATACTCAGCCATCGGAAATCGAACTGATGGCTAATTACTTTAGCACTTGTCGTGGGCCTAAACAATCTTAAATCTTCGGATTTTACACATCTGTCGTATTCAGAAAGAAAATGCAAAAATAAATTGCATTCTAGCGCCTTAAAACAGTCGGATTTGGATAACATCATGCTGCTGTGTCTAAACATCAAGTACGGGATTGAAAATAAACCTTACCAGTGGCTGAATGACTAAGAACCCTGAATACTAGGAGGGTTCGATACCAGGCGAACGGGCTGGTTACATGGTTGGTTTTCATAGTTTCCCCATGCTTACTGGGGCCCACCAGGGGCCGAGCGGTAAAGTCGCTGAACACTATAGTAGTTCGGTCCGAGGTTTGAACCCCGCGAACGGGCTGGCTGCATTTCGTTGTTTTCCCCGTGTTTAACGTGCGTACGAGCCAGTTTCCCTTAGAGAAAGTCCTCCACGAAAGGATTCCTCCCTTTAGATAACTTATCTTTTTTTTTTTTTTTTCCATGAATAACTTAACTGGATTGAAAATTAACCGCTATTGAAAATTAACCAGTGGTTTTAAATATAACTTATGATAATGCATCCTCAGAATACCGATAGATGGCGCGGTGGTGTTTATTCGTAAAAAGAAACTGTGATGTCCTAATTGTATATAATGTGTATATATGATTCGTTATTGCTGTTCGTCAATAAACGTTGTACAGAATAACGCTTTCTGTTTATTACTTTAAATTCGATCTAGTCTGATTTATCAGAGACTTATATATTTTTTATTTAGGCTGAGACATCGCTAAGCACGTGTAATAGGCCTAGGTTTAGTTTTTGGCATGGAATTTGCATGGCTTTTTCTTATGTGTAATATCGATACAAAATAGTTTCTTTTCAAAGATACCTATGAAAGCATTCTTTCTGAAACAAGCAACTGTCTCGTGGTTTGTTATAATCGGTCAACCTCTAACTGGATAAAAATTTTCTGCAAATAAATAAAGACATAATAACTGAGAAATTTTAAAAAACATAATCCCATCAAAAATCTTTGGATTGTCTTTAGAAAAGAGATTTATTGCTCTTCCTCCAATAGCTGCAAGTAGTTCTTCTATCAGAGTAGCAAGTGTATAGACAAAAGATGGTGATTCTGGCACAGCAGAGGGCAATAACTGTTATTTTAGCAGCATAGCAGTTGGAGATCACGTGCATGTAACGGCTTTTTTATTTCGCTTGTACAGCATACATTTTTTAATTAACTGTTATTTTTTTTCTTGAAATATCTTAAGTGGGAAACAATATTTTCAAAGACTAATAAAATATATCTAATAAAAATAAAACAGGAAATTAAAAAAATAAGCTTTTATTTAAAACTCGTAAAATAACTAATGATCTAAAAGAAGGAAAATAATTATCATATAGTTAATTGGAAAAATAGACTAAAAAATTCTCTTAACAGAACTCATCTACAATTTTATATCACGAATAAAGCATGGGAAGCGCTCGATACATTCATAAAAATTATGGCTTATGCTTTTGACAATACAATTAAGTTAATAGATATCGTTATTTAAGCTCCACGCTTTTATTATCCATATTAAAAAATGAAATGAATAATATAAAAATAAATCTTTTCTTATTATCTCAAAGCCGCGATACCCAGAAGGGCTATTAGTTTTGAAACGGCATTTTGCATCGGTTCACTATAAACGTCCTTTTCACTTTTCAAATTTTTGCCACCAAATATTATCTCCCTATATTATATTTAAAGAAAACGGCACCTAGAGTCATCAAATTTTGAATAACATAGTCCTCCACCCGAATATGGGCACCTGGAAGCCCGAATCTTGAATTTCGAATTTGTTTTATCGTCTATTCATATTTTCTAAACATTTAACGAATTTTCGATTAACAAACTGAACGATTTCAAAGCGAGCAGAAGCAACGCTGTACAGAAAAAACATTTTTATTTCCAGCGCGAGACTTCTATCAGAAATTCTAAAGATATGCTGCTTTTTAGATATTTTTAGCCCAAAAAGGGACATTAGCCCAAATGCTTTCGAAACGTGTATATGTGCGTAAATGGGGGAAAAAAAAAAAAAAAAAAAAAAAAAAAAAAGTGGCCCTTTGGAAGTAATATAAAATTTGAAAGCTTTCAGAATTTTTTTTTTTTTTTTTTTTTTTTTTTTTTAATTTTACTTTTCGTTTGCACATATGGTGGTGGCCTGCGTATTTAACATATTTTGTCGAACTGTAACTTAAAGTCTCTACATACGATATTGCTGAGGCTTATGTTTATGTCAAAATGTTTAAACACTGAAATTTTATGAATTCTTTTCCACGGAACACTGACACAGTTCACACACTCAATTCGGTACTTTGTGATTATGTTACCGTGAAAGACCGAAATTGGAGAATCTCGACTTTCACCGGAGAATGTCAACATTCACCAAATACGTCGGTGAAAGATCGAATATTTCTTTACATTCTTGTACATTCGGACCCTCACCGGTGTATGTCGACAATCACAAATATGCTTTGGTGTAGGTCGAAAAGAGAGGAGTATATGTACACGCTGCCATTCCAAAAGGAAGTGTTCCACAAATAAATGCAGTTGTAAAAGCAAGGGCCTCTTGTGCAATTCAAAGTGTCATAATAGTTTAAGTTGTTGCAATAAATAAGATTTGAATCACGTAATTTGGTAAGTTTATAACTTCTATTATTTCCTTTCATTTTGAATGTACTGTGTGTTTTAAGTTCTTATATTCTTAAGTTCTTATTCTGAGTTTCAAGTGCGTTTTTTCACGAATGAATTACGGAGAAGGAAATATAATATTCTTATTTGCTCAACATTCACCATTAGTATGTCGACATTGACCGGTGTAAGTCAGAAATAAGAGTATTTGGAAAATATTTAGGACATACACCAAGCGACTATGTGAATGTTGATATTCACTGGTGAAAGTCGACATTCTCCAGATTTCGGTGTTTCACCGTAGCAATTGTTCACACACACACACATACGCACCAGAACATCGCAAACTTGCCGACTTTAGAAATTCACGAACATTTCACCAATTCATTTACGCATTTCACGACTCCATTAACAACTAATTTTTCGCCAGGTTACTGAGCGAAAGGCAAAAACTGTTGTCAGAAAATGGTGGGGCAGTAAGACTTCCATATCAGAGCAATCAATCAATAACACTGAAAAAGCACTACAAGAATAAAACTATTACTAGAATGAACTACTTACCTTCTTCAAGAAAAGTTTCTTACACTATTCTTTTTTCATGTATACAGAGATCTATTTTCGCTTAAAAAAATAAATCAGAATGTACTTGCGTTGTATTGCAGTACTGAATTTAATTTTCAAAGTCTTGCCACAGTTATTCAAAAGTTTAATATTTAAAAAAATATTTAAAGAAATAAAATGCTTTAAATAGTTCATTTCGGTCTCAATTTTGAAGTTGGCAATAATTTGAAATATATATATATATATATATTTCGCAGTTTTCTGTTATAGTAGTATTTAAATCAAATCATATAATGATGAATATTTCATCTTTATGAAGAAAATAGATAATTTTACATTTATATTTCTATCACTATCATGCTCACTTCTTTTAATGATAAAAATAGAGCAGATAACTTCGTCATATTAATTATTTTCTTTTGTTTGTTTTTTGCAGGTGTGAATTTCATTCAGGTAAGTTTCAGAATTTATTACCTACATAAATTAAACGTATTCTAAAATATAAATAAATAAAATATCTTAAAATTACACTGCTGGCCATTAAAATTGCAATACCAGGAAGGAATGATCTGACGAATGTCAAAATCACATGAAAGGGAAAAGAAGTTGGGATATGCAATTGGATTAGTATTTCAGCGCATTTAGGCGACACATGAGGGTGGTGTGGTGTGGTGTGGTGTATTTAATTATGGCAAAGCACACTAGGGCTATCTGCCTAAGAGGAGGGATGCCTTCGTGGAGGACTTTCTAAGGGAAACTGGCTCGTATACACGTTACACATGGGGAAAACCACGAAAACGCCCATGCAGCCAGCCCGTTCGCGGGATTCGAACCTCGGACCGAACTACCAGTGTTCAGCGACTTTACCGCTCGGCCGCTGTGGGCCGCGACACATGAGAAACGATATCTAAAGCACTGCATAAAAGTAAAGTTTTGTAGTGAATTTTTCATTCGGAAAGTGCTGGTCGGAGTTTGCTCAGAATATCGTGTCATGCCTCGAATGAGAAGAGGAAATGCTTAACAGCAAGTTTTGAAATTCGATAGAGGCAGGATCGTTGTCTGTCGAAAGTGTAGATTATCGTTCCGTGATATCGTCGGTCGCACTGATCGACATCCAACCACTATCGTGTGAATATGGAATCAATGGATTGCTGAGGGTAATACTGAACGACTTGCACAATCTCAACGCCCTCCCATGACTAACGCCAGAGAGGACACACATATTGTGAGGTCAACCCTGCAAAATCGTAGACCACATCACGGACCATTAGTCAGGAAATGGGCATGTTTGCAGCATGCCCAGTATCCGCTGGTACGGTGCGTCCACATTTGCAACAGCGTGGACTATCATCACGGTGACCATTACTTAGGGTCCCCTTGACAATGCAGCATAGAGAGAGACGGCGACCACGGTGCGCCAGACGACAAAGCTAGAAAAGAGTGGCCCAATGTCGCCTTTTCAGACGAGTCCCGGTTGTATGTGCAGTATTCTGATGGTGGTTATAAGTGTCTGGAGTGCGCAAGGAGATCTCACGTCACCTGCTTGCATTTGATATCGGCTTGTTGGCCCTGCACCTGGTGCGATGGTTTGGGCAGTTATTGGATACACGGCACGTATATCTCTAATTCGGATCGACGGTAATTTGAACGCAGATGGGTACATTTCTGACATCTTACGTCCAGTTATTGTGCCCTATATTCGAGGCCCCCAGACTCCATGTTCCAACAAGATAATGCAAGACCGCATGTTGCATGTCCTGTTCTGACCTTCCTCGATAGACAGAGTATTCGATTGCTGCCCTGTTCTTCACTGTCTCCAGATCTGTCATCCATTGAGAACATTTGGTCATGGGTTGCTGAGAGACTGGCCCGCCACCCCTCTCCAACTAATACGGTTGATGAAATTGAGCATAAACTTGAAGCAGTATGAAATGAGTTGCCCGTTTCTGTCATCCAATCCCAGTTTGACCCCATACCTAATGGGGTAAGGGCTGTTTTAGCTGCCAGGGGTGACAGCTGTTTCTACTAATTTCGCATCCCTGTAAACCTCCAAAATACGTACAAATTTAATCATTTTGTTTTCATGCCATACTGTTTATGTGCGATAAATATCTATTTTGTATTTGCTTTCCTTCAGGGTGTTGCAATTTTAATGGCCAAAAGCGTAGTAATGTTACGAATTTTGTACTTAGATAGGTAACTTTAGTGAAGTTATACCTGAAATGATTAAATTTTTCTGCAAAATGTACCAATAAAATGTAGAGAGACAAAGCTGTGCCAGAAAAATAAGAATACAGGGGCAAGTCTATTTAACATTGAGTAAATGGCTCTTTCGCAAGATATCCCCGAACTGGCAAACGTTTGGTAATTGAATTCATAATATTAATATATGATATATTACTGTTGTCGCGTACACAACGATTTGTTTTTCACTTATACATCAAAGAATTACACGAACTTGGCATTGCGCACCCCCTATGAACAAATATGAATGATAACGTAAAATAAATAAATAAATTAAACACTTACCTTATAAGGTATTTCTCCCGCCTTCTTAGCGTGCCTTCGTAGTGTAGTGGTTAGCACGCTCCACGCTGATTCAAAGAATATGTACACTGGTGTGTAAAAATTAAGGACGAGACGGTTTTTTCAATATAACTTTGTACAAAAGCTTTCCAAATCAACACATTTAATACCGTAAGATCCCCAATACGTAAGGACATGAGAAATGTAAGCAACACTTACTAAAAGAGAAATCAGAGGGATAAAAAGAAGCTTTATTGAAAAAGTAGCATGGACCGCAATGCGGCTGAAGGCCGAAACATCACTGTGATGGGTGTCCAGCAGGAAACATCCGGTCTTTAATAGGGAATATGATCTCCCCTGACTGCTAGGTAGGTTTCACAGCGTCTGCCCATGCTGAGAATGAGGGTGTCAATGAGTTGTTGAGGCATTGCTGCCCATTCGTCTTGCAGCGCCAATCGAAGCTCCGGAATCGTTACTGGTGGTAAGGTACGAGCTGCCAAGCGTCTGCCTAGAAAATCCCATACATGCTCGATGGGATTGAGATCCGGAGATCGTGCCGGCCAATCCATACGTTCAATATCCTCACTCTCTAAGAGCTGTTCGGCAGCTACTGTGCGATGACATGGTGCATTGTCGTCCATGAAAAGGAACTGCGGACCCATAGCGCCTCTAAAAAGACGCACATATGGAAGAAGAATCTCGTTACAATAACGGGTCCCGTTGACTGAACCTGCGTCGAAGATGTGAAGGTCTGTACGACTACCAAGCATGATGCCTCCCCAAACGAGAACACCGCCACCTCCATTCCTGTCCCTTTCAATGATGTTCGAGGGATGATTGCGGCTTCCCCGCTTTCTCCAGATGAGTATGCGATGAGAATCGCTACTCAGACTGAATCTGCTCTCATCTGTAAAGAGTACTCGTCCCCATTTATTGTTTCTCCAATTCCGGTGTTCCCGGCACCACAGAGAACGCCTTCTCCGATGGGCAGGCGTTAGAGGTACACACCGTACAGGGCGTCATGCAAACAGACCACCACCGTGCAGTCTTCTGTCCATGGTAAAATGCGATATCGGTCGTCCAGTCGCCTGTGTCGTGTGTCTAGCGATTTCTCCCGCTGTCTGCCGCCTGTTTCTTCTGGCCTGTAAGGCAATATACCGGTCATCTGCGGGTGTGGTTCCTCGTGGACGACCACTATTAAACCCCCGGATAGCTGTTCTTGTAGTTTGAAATTTCTCCAAAGTCGTGAAACGATGCTGTGAGCAATTCCGAACTCTGCAGCCACACTTGCGACACTGCGGCCTTCCTCCAACTTCCCAATGATTCGACCTCGGGTAAAAGCATCCAGATGTCGTCTAACGGATTGATTATTCGCCATTTCTCGCTGAGGCAGCACTCGGTGTGATTTTAACTGCTATACGGCGTGCAATCTCTTTGCCAGAAATACTGATCTTACACCGACAACATGCTTTATACTACTCAGACACTCCCCTATTACGTCTACCTGCATATCTGCGCATGTGCTAACGTACATCACCTTACTTAATCTCCTGATTGGTCTTTCTGTCCGCTCTGCCTCTTCGTTCAGCTGATATGCTAATTTTTCGACTTCGTCCTTAATTTTTGCACACCAGTGTATTGTTAAGAAGGAAAGCTTTGCAGCAGCAGGAGTGGCTCCCTCCGAACAAAAAGGGACGCAACTGCGCATGTGTGAAATATCTGTCGCCAAAAAGCGCCAAAGCTCGAAGCTGATGTCGAAGTTCGAACAAGTTCGATGGTCACGTTTATCAAGAGTTTAAAGCTCTGTGACTCCATTTTTTTCCCTACATATTGACAGATATAAAATCAGGCACCAAACTGCGATATGGATAATACAAGTTCAACTAGTAAAGCAAAAAAGCACGAAAATTCGAGTTTAAATTATTGCGAAAAGTCAAAGAACGATTCATCTAAACCCGTGTTCCTCAATTTCCTGTACACGTGGCGGAGGTGGAAAGTCTCGGCCATGTACATCACAAAGGGGGGAATTCTCGCCAACAGGTTCCGTCGCCAAATCCCTTGGCGAATTGTCCCTCTTCTTTCTAGCGGCGTAGAAGACAAACTGGTTTACATTACGTCTATAGAGCCTTTCCTTCTTTACATAGGCTTTCTTTGCCTCTGCCTTTCCATGAAACTTCTCAAGAGGACTTTCGGCTCGCCGCATATTTAGAGTGCCGATATGCCGGGATTCGTGCCCGGTCCCTTCGTCACGGCAGTTAGCGATGCTAACCACTATACCGGTTGGGCGTCCCAGATCAGTTCTTTTCGCCTCCTTTTCATTGAAGCAAGGAAACGTGAGAAACAAGTACCCTCCCAGATTCGAATTCTCCAGTGCCAGGAATTGTGAGAAATCAAAATTCCCTCAGAGGTTCGAACAGCGGATCTTCCAATTTCTGACTGACCACGATAGCATATACGCGAGATTGTGATAATTCTTTACAGCGTATATGGTGACATCTCATAGCTGAAACACGCATATCTTAGTGATAAAACCCTTTGTGACATCTTCCTCTAAAGGAATTTGGAAAATTGATATTCAACAAGCATGTCTGGAACCGCTGATGAATTCATTCCAAGAAAAATTTACAGTAATATTCCAGAAAATAACAAATAGAATTATACGGCCTGAAGGCAAGTGTCTGGTGGATACAATTTTAAAATAAGCGATGAGGATTGGTCACATTGTGAACTCATCGTTTACAGTGATGCAACATTCCTTTAGCAACTAGTGATCACTTGAACAGAGTGATGATTAATTATTCTGCATTGGTGAGGCCACTGTTCAGTTTGTCACTGTCTGTGCAGTAAAAGGGTATTATTGCATTCCTATTGTTTTTGTTATTTTATATAAAAATTCTTTCCACTAGGGATGTCTTTCTGCCAGACGTCATGTGTCCATTGCTTTATTTCAACTACAATGACTGCAAAATTCTCATTTGAATATTCATAACATTTTTCTTTATTAAAAATTTGCTATACATATATCATAAGAAATCATTCAGTAAGAATTTCTGTTGCAACTAAATGTGGTTTTATCCATGCAGCACGCTAAAGATTTAGCTGATCGCCTAGGAGTACGTGGTTGGATACGACTGACACGCTACGGAAGTGCAATGGGACAAATACAAGGAGAAAAAGACAGAGTTGATGAAATGTAAGTATAAACTTAATTACATGAATTACTCTTACGTCTGTTTTCCTTAGCAGTTTCAAAATTTCAAATTACAGAGTAATTATTTTAGATGGAATTTAATTCAGTAGCATTTAATAATTTTACGTGCTGATAATCTTTGCCGATGTAATACTTGGCAATGTCAATAAAACAAAATTGACTGAAATATCTTGTGTGGAATAAGTCTCATTTTGCGGAAGTAAGTGTAAGGTTTCGAGCATCTTATTGTTAAAAAAAGGCATTAATTTAGTGAGGATTCTCATCAGGTGAAGAAGAGAAAAGCAGAAATTTTTCTGTGATTTGTCGTATTGTAACTCAAGTATGCAATGTGCCATACCTCGCAAAATACATCTACATTTTCTTTTTCTTTATTGCATTATTTTTGTTAAATTTACTGCTGCTTATAGCAAATTTTTTAGGTCAGGGTTTACTTTGAAATATTTCATTTAATTATTTGAGCATTTATATGTGTGTGTGCGTATAAAAATAGAAATGAAAATCCAGAAATTCAAAATTAAAATCCATTATTTGCACGCGAACTGCTGCTAAAAATAATGTAATAAAGAAAGAAAAACTTCAATAAAATCTCTTATCTTTCATGACTGTCATATATAAAAGGCAAAGAACAAAATGAAAAAGCAATTATAAAATTAAACTGCAATAACACAGAGATTATAAGAATTAAGTAAAGTTCTTTGCCAAGAAGCAGACCGCGATTCCACATAATCAAACGATTTTCTGAATTTATTTCTGAAAGAATTAAAAAACATTTAACTGATATTAGAATATTTTAAAGGCAAATTATTAAAAATAAAAATGTTCTAAAATTTTTTACGTTTTTTTTTCCGGAAATAAATGGCTTTTTCAGAAAAACCACTTTCTGTGGTTATTGATGATTTTCAGGTTACCATATTTCGTTGGTATTTCAGAAATATAATATTAATATTCTTCCAATTTCAGGGCTCTGTGGTTACGACACACTGGATGCCCAAGATGCAGAATTGATTTCGTTGACTATCAAAACTGGCGAGTCACAGATGGATTTGAATACCGAAAGTTTAATGCACGAGTTTAAATCCTTACCCTGAAGTATAACCAGGCAGAAAGGCCAAGGTATAAAAGACCATCTATACCTCATTGGTCTTGGTATACTGCTGTTATAACAACATGTTGGACGGAAATTAATATTCAAATACAAGACTGATTCTAATTTTGTATTACAACATCGCATTACTGCATATATCATCTTTACTGAAAGAAAATAAATTATATTTATGTGTTTTAATAAAAAGTGAGCTAGTTATTTGAATCACAACCACTGAATTTCAATCGTGGAAATAATACAACAGCATGCAACTTTTAAGAAATAATGTTTTTCCGCATAGTTATCCCTTTCTGGGGCGGTGGTTTCGCCTTGAAACTGCATTTTCAACATTTTTTTTTTTAAATTTAGAAATTTTTTTTTCCCCTTAAAACCGCTGCTAAAATTAAATTACTACTTAAAGCTGATAACAGATGGCAGCACCAAATCTTTTTGGGCATCCATTTATTGATACGAATCATTCAAAAATAGCTTCTTTTCCACACTACTCTTTTTTGACCCATTTTAAAAACAAAAAACCCAAAAATTTTTAATTTCTCCACAATATATTTTATAAGCAGGCATCAATGAGTAATGAAATGTCTTTAGTTCACAAAAAAAGTAATGGAACCCTTTTAATTTTGAATGTTTTCATTGCGGTTTCAGTATGAAACTATCGCCCCTCTGAGACATCGAAGAAAGGATCAGATGACGCAGTCGCGAGATTTTTTGCATTCGGATGACTGCCGTTGCACCATATCTTCATTTGAGTGGCTTCAAAGATGAGGATTTATGGAGCTTTTGAGAGAGGGAAAACATTTCTTATTTTTTAGACACAGAGCACACTGAAAAACACTCACAGTTGCGTTTTTATTATGCTTCTCTTAGCGGTCGCTTTTCTCGTGCTTCTAGTTCATAGTAAAATAATTGTATGCATCTTAATTTATTTTATTTTTACATATAATTTTCTTAGTTTTTAACATAATTTTTTTAAATATTTCATAGTTTTATGTAAGTAATTTAGTGCATTATTAGTTACTTTTTGTCTCATACTTTCTTGTTTCCTGTTTTAAATTTTTTATTTATAATTAAAAATGCGTGTTTATGCAAATATTACTTACTTCATTAGTTGTTCAGTAATTTACTAGTATAATCTGCAATTTGGGTTACGTTTAGATACTTTTCAGCAAAGTAAAGATAAATAAGCAAATGTTTAGTCTTAAGTGCTCTAGAGGGGGGCTGGTTTCAAGGCGAAACCGGTCCCCTTTCCATAATGGGGGATGAAAAAATTTTTTTAAACTCATTTATGTTGTCTATAGGACCGTTGCATGTCATTATGCGTAATTTTTCATAACTTTTAAAAAATCATAACATTGCGCCCCTGAAGGGTTATGCATTGGATTGGCTTGAGTATGGGAAAAATAACCCAAAGGTTTCAGGATAAAGAAACCAACACAATAATTACAACAGGTATAAAAAATTTGGTGTGGACACCACATGACTTCTTCATGCGGCCTATTAAATTATACACATTTTTAATACATTTCATTTTCACTTATTTCCTCGAATTTCATTACAGATATATTTCTCATTCAATTAATTCAGGTCTCACTTCGCGGCAAGGCAAAATTACATAACAACTCAAAATATCTTCATTAAAAATTGTAAAATACACAAAAAATAAAACACCAAATACAGTTCAAAACAGCTAAAAAAAATCCTTACAATTAAAATTAGTTTCTACGTCAAAACAAGCAATTTTTCCAGCGGATAGGAAGACAGATTTTTCGGTGCACAAAATTGAAAGTTTGACCCATCGGCACAAAGACACTGAAGTTGGTGCACAAACTGAGTTAATTCACTATCCTACTAAGAATTTCAAATGGAAACAAACAGCCGACACGTTAGGCCTAGCTGCGACTTACACTTTTAATTTGTTGATAATTCTACAACTATTGCATGCAAATTAACTAAAAACATAAAAACCTTAAACGGAACATAAGATCAACATAATTCAATCACGTTCAAAGCAAAAAATGCACCATTTACCAAAATAATAAGGATAAAAAAAAACTCAGTTCACCAAGCCTTGTAACAGAGTGGAAATATATAATCGGTGCCGCCGATTGCAACAAAAAGGGAGGTGCATAGCTACAAGTTATAGCAATCTCGAATACAAATTTCAACTTTCTTAGGCTACTCGGTTTTGAGTTATGCGATATACATACGTTCGTACAGGCGCCACAAAAAATCCCTTTTACAATCCGTTTTGGAAAAAACTGTTGCCGTTTATTTTGCTTGTACGTATAGATATTACGCAAAACCATCGTTCAAAAATATATTCGAGAGCAGTCAAAATGAATATTTACGTTCAAATGTGATACTCGGAATTTTTCCCTATTGCAATACTTCCTTTACTTCGTAAAGTAAAAAGGTAAAAGAGTTTCATTCAAAAATAGTTCCACTGCAGCCTCTTCCTCAGAGATGCATGTTTTACACCAGCATGGTTAATACGTTAAAGGAAGCAGTTGATAAATTCTTCGGAGCAACATTGCACATCTATCCGTTACAGCCGTTTTCAGAGTAAACATACAGTATAGTAACTGCCGAGTATGCCAGATATATGCAATGAGATTTAGATATGGAAATAAGCGGGCAATCGATTCCAGCAATATCTACGCTTTACAATGTTATATTGAAGAATACCATAAAAAAACCCGATAGACTGTTGTATTGCATTATTTATCATTGTTTGAGTATTATATTTAAAGTTAACCCCATAGGAAATATTGCCTTTGAGAGAAAACATAAGCATGTGAAACAAGATTACCAAATTTAATCCTATGCACTAGTTACAGTAATGATTCTAGAATATGTAACTCTGTACTTCCGTCCAGCATATTTTCTCGTCTAACATATCGATATTTTTGCATGCTTTCAGGGTTTACCATTCATCACTTTCTATCAAATTAGCTTATATCTAAAATTCTTGCTGGACCTGAAGCTACTGTCTCTCGGTAAATAGTCAGTCTTACCCAATTGTGTTATTTTCTGACAGTATGTTCTTTGCACCACTGTACGTATGATATTGAGAATCAGTAAAAACTGTAAATTTACCAAATTTTTTGACTTACTAAAGAGAACTAATTTCATAAAATCGTCGGCCGCCCACTGCAATTTAAATTTAGCCCCCTTTTTTAGAAAATTATAATATGTTTGATAATCATTTCGCCGCCCAGGTGCTGTGCACTATCTTCCCCCTCTAGGATCGGCTCTGTGGCTGGTAATTGTCCTTGTCGTGTGGTAGGCGTTTCCGCTTTTCCACACGATTTCTTTTTCTTATGAATTTTCCCTGGCCTGGAAATTCAGCTGGAGCTGGTCGTTTCCTTTATATGAAATCCCGTAGGCGATCCCGTAGGCGATCTATCGTTTCTCGATTTTTCTGCTGGTTCTCTTGAATTTTAACCTTCGAACTAGTTTCTTTTTCGGTGGTCTTCCATAGCGTAGATTTCAGCATGGTTGATCTGTCATGTTCCTGTTGCTACAAGATTGCTGCTGAACATGTTACAAGAAATTTCTTCCCGCCTTCCTTTCACCTGTCGTTGTTTCGTACTCGGGTGATCGCAACGTCTAAGGAATCTTTAAACTTTTCTTTACCTTGGACAAATTCTTTGTTTTCTTCTTTCGTCTTGGTGCCCATTCTCTGTAGCTTTTCTTTTGGAAGCATCATCGAACCTCGTCCCCCTTTTTATTCTTTTTGAAACCCAGAATCCCTTCGCTTTTCTTTTCAAATCTTGTAACATGGATCTCGACGTCAGATCTACCGCATTCTTTGATGGCCCTTCTGCGCTGAAGTCAAGCGATTTCCGTAATACCTCTCTTATCAATGGCATATCAGCCCGCTCATAGTAACCTTTCAGTTGATCCACATTGGCTTTTACCGCTTCACCATTTTGTTCTTCTAATCACTTCACCATCTTGTGAAGTTCAAATACTTCATTCTCTTTTTCCCTCCGATAAACGTTTTGCATTTGTAACTGACCTTTCAAATATTTCCCTTTCCCTGTTCGCCAGCCATAAAGACTTTATTTAGAAAACCGCCTACAAGTTTTCCTACCCAGGAGCAAAATTTCTTTTGTGTTCCTTAGTCTCTGATCTGAAAATTAACAAAATTGATCCCCTGAAATAAGGCTTTTAAATGAGAAACATTTCGTTTGCAATGCCAGCTGAAGGGGTACGGAACTGCCTTCCTATTTCCCTTCATTTTAAACGAACTTACCTTTGTGCGATCCTGATACGACCCGGTTCCGTAGAAAAAGCAAAATTCAGAAGAAAGCGTACCAGTTAAGCAAACAATCACTTCTTTCCATTTTAATTTTATTCTGGGGGGGGGTTGGAAAATACGAAGCGAGAGTGTAATACGAAGTGATGAATCTCAGCGGTGACGATGTAGGCCATATTTAACTCCAGTGAGTGTATGGCGTTGCTAACGCCTGACAGCAATTTTCAGTTATAATTCAATTGTTAAATTTTGCAGCTTGTTTAAGTGGAAAGGCGGCGGATATCTTAAAGACTCACTTACCTGAAAAATGTTCGGATACTAGTGCTTTAATGAATGCGCTAAAATTATGATTTGGAGAATCAATTCTGAAGGATCACCCCCGAGTGCAGCTCAAAACTCAAAAGCAGAAAACAGGAGAGACCCTTCAAAAGCTGGCAACTGACATCGAAAAGTTAACATAGCTGGCATTGCCGGATTGTGGCCTTGAAATTAGAGACATATTGAATTATACTGTATTCTGCGGATTCTGAAATACAGCAAGCACTCTGGATAGCTGATGTTAAAGACCTGAAGAGTGCTGTAGTTGATATCATAAAAATGGAGACTTCGCAAAACGCTAGTAAAAAGGATCGTTGGCCAGTAAGAGGTGTCAGCACTACAGAGGACACAATGTTGAAAGTGGTGGTGGAATTGACGAAAAGAGAAGAGGCGACGGAAACATCCGAGATAAAATGGAGTGATGATAAAAGTAAGATGAAACATTGGAACTGTAATGGAGAAGGACAACTACGGAAAGAGTGTAGTGTGCTTCCAGTTCAAAAGACGAAAAATATCACCAAGAGAACAGAAGAGACTATTACCAAGAGCGGCAGAGAACTTAATAAACGTTCATCTCGAGGAGCAGAGGTTGCCATATGCAGGAAGTTCC